TTTTATGTTACCAAACCATCTAAGGCGACTCTCTCTAATCTTATCTTCTACTGGAGCTGCTCCAACCTTTTCACGTATATGCTCATTTCGTATCCTATCTCTAAGGGTAAAGCCACTCATCCACCTGAGCATCCTCATCTCTGCCACACTTAACTTAGTATTATGCTTCTCTTTTAATGGCCAACATTGGGCACCATAAAGCATTGCAGGCCTTACTACCATCTTATACAATTATCCCTCAAATTTAAGGGGTACATTTCTATCACATAACAAGCCCGATGCATTCCTCCACAACTTTTATGTTGATTTATAAAATAGTTTTTTCATATAAAAACTTTTTGAAGAAAATAATTATGCTAAAAAAATGTTTTAAAAAGCGGGAAGAAAACTTTCCCAAACAAAATCTAAATCTTAGGAGTCATGTGATCCTACTTTTTATAAATCAGAATATTCGATTATTCTAAAGTTTTATTTAATGTTTACCACATTGACTTAAGCAAGATGCCTACAATTTGGTGGCTTGTGGACTATAATTTTAATATGTTACGTGCAAGACTATTGTCCAATATTTTAATAAATCAAAAATACATTAGCCATTTTATTTTTAAAATAATAAATATAGGATTTACTTAATTAGTGATAAATTATGTTAATTTTGAAATGAATTCAATGATTTAGGCTTTGTTTGGAAAAGTTTTTTTAACTGTTTTCGTGTTAAGAAAAACTATTAGTAAAAAATAATACGAGTTTGGAAGATAATAATATTATTTTTTAAAGCAAATTTTTAGTATAAAAACTTAAATTTTTATACTAAAAAGTTGTTTTAAGAAGCAATAAGAAAGTCGTCCCAAACAAACCCTTTGTCATCAAAATTTCAAATTTTTATCTTTAAAAAGTTTTTTCTAGAAAAGCATTTTCTAGATTAACGGTTTGTTTGGGATAACTTTATTATTGCTTTCTAAAACAAAGATTTGTAGTTCAAAAATATTTTAAAAAGCAGTCTTGAACATGTCACAAGGATAACTTCCTTACTGCTTTTTAAAGTAACTTTCTAGTACAAAAATTCGTTAAAAACAGTAAAAAAAAAAACAGCGATCAAAAGCTGTGCCAAACAAAGCCTAAGAAATGAACTTCCCCGAACAAAACCTTAAACTTCATTTTAACTAAATTTGAATGAAAACATTCTATCCAATATTTTTAATTATTTAATACAACATAAATCAAATATATTTTTTCTCATGTATGTTTCTAAGTTTGATAAAATTAAATATTGCAATGATTAAATTAGTACTGATCAGGGCATGGTTGATTTAATGGTGGACTCTGCCATTCCAATGTTAGAAACATGGGAGGGAAGAATTGAGAATGGAGGAGGGAGAACAGAGATAAAGATTGATGAGGATTTGAAGAGTTACTCAGCTGATGTAATATCAAGAGCAAGCTTTGGCAGTAGCTATTCAAAAGGAAAGCAAATATTTATGAAGCTCTATGAACTAAAGAAAGCTGTTTCCAAACCAAATCTTTTTGTTGAAATCACTGGAATCAGGTACTTAGTCAATTTCTTCAAACAAATATATATTTATATGTAATCGCATTCAATAAAAGTTAGTCAAATTCCTGAAAAGCTTGTTCTTGTAAGGTCAGGCATATCCCTACCAGAAGAAACAGGGAGGTGTGGAGGCTAAACAAAGAGATCCGGTCGCTGATACTTCGAGTGGTGAAAGATGGAGGTGTCAATGAAGGGCATTGCATGCCTGAGAATAACTTTCTGCAAGCGATCCTCCACAATGCCAGTGTTGCAGGCATTGCCTGCGGCACTGGCAATGCGGAAGACTTTGTGGTCGATAATTGCAAGACTATATATTTTGCAGGGCATGAGACCACTGCCGTCTCCACCACATGGTGTCTTCTCTTGCTCGCCATGCATCAGGAGTGGCAGGATCGTGCCCGTGCAGAGGTGTCAGAGCTCTGCGCGGACAACCCACTTGATGCCCACTCCCTCCTCAAGATGAAAACAGTTAGTTCTATTCCAACACTCTCTCAAGCAATATTTCCTTACAAGCTATGATGCACCAACACTTCTCGTGACACGACACGCGTCTGACACTCCTCTGATACATGTCGGACACGCCAAAAATGTGTACGTTTAAAAAATATTAAATACAAATTGGACACGAGTGACTTAAATATTTTATGAATTATTTTAAATATAATTTCTTACATTTCAAATCGTTATTTATTTAAAATATAAAAAATTAAATTTCTTATTTCCTATCAACAACACCAAATCAATTGCCCGCACTTAATATCTCATTCATCGAATATTCTCATTTTCATTTCTCTTTAGCGGGTTATGACTTTGGTTTCATAACAATGCCTTATGTCAATTCAACATTGGCATCAGACGTCATTAAAACATCGACATTTCAAAGTCATCTCTACATCAAAGTCTGACACTATCTTGACATTGATACTCAACGCTAGCAATTTCTACACACACAACTTGACAACTCATCTTTGTCTGACGTCTTTTTAACGTTGATGACCAACGCACTCTTGACATTGACGCCTGATACATACTGCCCTCAACAGCATTGTTGTCACCTCTCTCGATGCCTGATACACAGCATCGACGTCAGACTCTTGGCATCCTAATATTAATCATTTTAAGCATAAATTATAGTTAAATGACTTATTGTTTCTAAATTAATTTTAATATTATATTTATTCAATTTTTATGCATTATTTTTTAAATATAGAAATTATAATACCGTGTCCGCGTCCTACTATATTTTCAATAATTGAAGTGTCTTGTGTCTGTGTCATATCTGTGTCGTCGTGTTAGTGTTTGTGCATCATAGCTTACAAAGTCTTTTCCAAAGATTTATCACACCAAGAATTATTCAAGAAAAAGAGTAATTACCTTGTCTCAGCTGGCAATGGTGATCCAAGAGGCTCTTCGGCTTTACCCACCTGGACCAGTTGTGGCAAGAGAGGCTCTTCAGGATCTGAAACTTGGAGGCATTCAGTTACCAAAAGGCATCAATATTTTTATCCCAGTGCCTACAATGCATCAGGATCCTAACCTTTGGGGACCAGATGCCTTCGAATTCAAGCCTGAGAGATTCAAAAATGGAGTCATTGGCGCGTGCCGGGTTCCACAAATGTATATGCCATTCGGAGCAGGTCCTCGAACATGTCTTGGGCAGAACTTCGCCGTGATCGAGCTCAAGATCGTGCTCGCTCTGATCCTTCAGAAGTTTAGATTTGATTTGTCAATGAATTATCGACATTCGCCGAAGCTTAGGTTGATTAGATATGGACAAGCTTGTTATTCACTACTAGATGAATTTAACTATGAAAGGCCATAGTGCCAATAAAAAAAAAAAGTAATTCTAACTACTGTAAGTAATGCAAAGTATGAGAAAGCTAACAAAGTAATAGTGCTGGAAAACTAGTACACAACAAACTATTGTAGTTAAAATAAATTACGAATACAAGAACAAGGAGCTTTCCAAATGATTCAACAAAGAACTCTTAAGCACTCAAAACAAAACTTAAATTTCGGGCAGTCTAGTTTATAAGAACTAGGTTGTAAGACCCACTACTTGGCTACTTTCAATGAAAACCGTAAGTCCAGTCTTTAGGGGTAATAGTTAGAAAGCAACCTAACTTTATACTCCTTATGGGCATCTTAGCCTATAGGACTAAATTGTAAGACCCGCCATTTGAGCTACTTCTAAGTGAAGCAGTAAGACTCGCGTGTTAGGGAACTTCTAAGTGAACGAACCTAAACCCAAAACTCAAACAAATTACTGGGCATCCTAGTCTATAAGGGCTAGGTTGTAAGACCCACTATACAGGCCACTTAGCTTATAAGCCATAAGACCTACCCAACTAAAATTTTAAGGCCACCTCTAAAAGAGGCTGTAATTCCCACTATCAGGGCAACTTCTAAGGAAGTCATAAGCCCCTACCTAAAACAAATTAACGGGCAACTCCTAATTGGAGCCATAAGCCCCAAACTAAACAAATTAATGGGCAACTCCTAATTAGAGCCGTAAGCCCCAAATTAAACAAATTAACGGACAACTCCTAATTGGAGCCGTAAGCCCCAAACTAAACAAATTAACGGGCAACTCCTAACTGGAGCCGTAAGCCCCAAACTAAACAAATTAATGGGCAACTTCTAAGGAAGCCATAAGCCCCAACACAAACAAAACTAAATTAAAATTCACATATCTCCACTTCAGTCTATTCGGGATCCTTGAGAGGAGTCAACCCATGGCTGCTAATCAGATTCCCTGGACACTGCAATCAATGGTTGTTAGTGTTGGTAGACTGAACCCACGATATGCCCGGGATGACAAAACCATGGGATCTTGATCGGGTGTACCTTCATCCCCCCATAACTAAATTTAAATATTTATTGCACATTCTCACACTTCTTGTATGAAGCTAAGTGTATTTCATCCTTAATCGAGAGTGCTCTTCTAATGCGTTAGGAGGGGTTTAACTATGAGGGCTTGCGCTCATAGGAAGTAGAATCCAGATCTAAATAAACCCTAACACTACTCTCAGGGGAAATCTGGTTAAATATTAAACTCAATCTACCTCCGAGAAAATTAAGGCCCCTAAGTTCGTGAGGGCAGGGTTCACATATCTTTAATTTAAATGATTTTTCTGGAGCCAACAATACAACTATGTATAAATTAGTGTTAAGTATGTATTTTGAACTAAAAAATGTATCTTAGAAGATCAGAGCTCAATTGAGATCGGATCAATCTATAGATCAAATTGAACTTGGATCAAACTTAATAAGCTATGATTGGATCAAATCGGGATCGGATGGAGCCAAATTTTGACTGGACTTGGCTCAGCTCGAGATCATAACAAACAATTTTGAGCTAAGGTCGGATCACCTCGAGAACAAATCTTTAATAGCCCTACATGAGATAACCCGCAGAAAATACAAAGGAAAAAAAAAAGAGCTATGACCAATAATGAACTATCCTCCAGCAAGAGGACATTGAGAACACCAGAAGCACATGAAACTCCATGGAGCAAACCAGAAGACGCTACGAGAAAGAAGCAAGTTCTGCCCAAAGGAGGATTTATTATTCTGTGCGGAGTCCGGATGTGTCCGGAAATCAATAAAAATGCATCACATCACCCAAAAAATGTACTGTGCTCGGTATCGCGCTTTGTACCGAGTGTAACCGGATGTTCCTCCCGTTCGGTGTCTGCGCAGAATAATTTCTCCTAAAGGAAGAGAAGTTCCAATATTCATGAACAATTGAAACCAAGCATAAGAAGAGTTCCACAACCATAATAGAATGATGAAAAATGGAGTAAAGACAAAAGTCACTGCAGCTGCAAGGAGAAAAGGGGAGACCAAATATCAGTTCCATAAGAGCAAGTTGAGGAAGATCCGAACAAGACATCAAACACTGCTACTAAAGAACCATTCCAACATCAATATAAACCACTAGCAAGCAAAGAGCACCAAACGCAACAGAGGAGCAACTGGGCCTGAGAAGCAAACACAGCCGCATGAGAGGCTTCGTTTGGATTAATTTTCGTTGTTTTTCCAAAAAGATGTCTTAAAAGCTGCTTTTGGGAAAGCATAATAGAAACTATAGTTGAAAAAATTACTTTCAACAGCCAAAATAAAAAAAAACTGTCGTTCCAAATGAAGCTGCAGATCTTAAAGCGAGTAGAGTGATGGAACTCCCGAAGCACAAGAGACCGAAGATGCAAGTACAGCGGAAGGACCTTCAACACTGGGATAAAGGGAGCCTTGTGGTAGAAAAATTATTATGTGCGGAATCTGAATGCAATCTGTAGCTCAATGAAAATGCACCACGTCACTCTCTCGGTACCGCGGCTATGTACGACAACTCGGTACTGGATGACATGGCTGCATCGGATTCGCCTCTGAACAATAAACTGTGTCTGGTGTCCGTATAGAATAATTTGTCATTGTGGCAAGCCTCTAATTAGAGTTAAGTATGTATTTTTTATTTTGCGACGAGGCGATGCGATTTTTGTGGCAAGCTTCTAATTGTACAATTTTAAATCATATTTGAAAATTTTGATCTCTGTACTCCTCTTTAAAGCTTAAAAAACTATTTGATCTCTGAAAGATAAGATCTTGGACGCAAGTAAATATCACTGAACTATATAGATTTGAGTCTTGTGATTGTGATCTTTATTATGTTATTCTTCATCTTCATTTAACGTTTTAATACTATCCTAACAATATTCTTGTTATGAAGAGCCTTTCATGCAAAATGCCCTAAGGGTTAAATAACTATTTGCTCTAGAGTTTTTCTTGAGTGACCAGTCTTGATAAACCTATGGGGGGGATCCATGTAACAACTAAGGATGCAACTACTAGAAGGTATAATTCCCAGTAGAATATTAGTAAATGTAACGATCGCTCAATAAGAATTGAGTAACAAGAATAAAGCATCAACCTTTTCTAAGGGTTTTTGATATAATTGTCTGTTTTTTTTTATAGGAAAAAAAAAAAAAAACCAGGCATTGTATCATTCTATTTTAGGTAGGATTTAAGTAAAATTTGTCTAAGTTCTACGAAATGGATTTTGGGGGACATTAACTCTTTTTGTTATGATAAATCTCATTTTAACCCACTTATAATAAAAGTCTCATTATCCACATGATTTAATATTGATATATCATCAAAGAATTTTCTTGATCGGGCACAACTCTCGAAGCAAAATCAAGTTGGAAATTTCAAAACTGAAATTGGAGTTCATATGATTTCCGAGCTCAAATAGGTCCAAATCAAAGACCCGAAGTGCCTTTGGAAGGTTCAATCCATAATTTGGATTACCAAACCTGACATTGTTTATCTTGTATTCGTGATAAATGTAAGTCATTCATGTTCACACAGGCAATATTTGCCATTGTTCTTACCCTTTCATGATCTCTTCGGCCTGTCACCATTTTACAACTATAAATAGACTTGTTGCGTGCGAGAATATACGCGGTGGTAGAGTTTGTAAATTCGCGTCCTACGTTGCACGAGTATTCCGCACACAAACAGAAAAGAGAAAGTGAACACCAAGGTTTTTACGTGGAAAACCCAAAAGAGGGAAAAAACCACGGGGCCTTGCCCAGTTGCAAAGTTCCACTAGTGTTTTTGTAGATTACAAATGGCGGATTCGTCCCACAAGTTGGGATAATCCAAATACACTTTGTTTCCTCCAAGAAGTTTACAAAATTCTGCAAATT